CCCCAGGCTTCGGCTCCTCGCTTGGTTCCTTGAACTTCGGAAGTGGAGTCGTTTTTTCGGTGCTGCACCACGAGGTTCAGCAGGTGTTTCCTTGTCTCCCGGTTTTGCTGGGGTGGCGCTTAGCGGCTGGTTTAGCAGCAGCCGGTTTTGCAGCAGCAGGTTTAGGTTCTCCTACCTGGGCCCTTGAACCCTGGGGCCGGAGGGACCTTCTTCGGCAGCGAGCCCAGCGGTTCAGCGGGGATTTCAGGAGTCTCCGGGCTTAGCTGGTGTAGCTGGCTTGGTTGGTCTTGGTTTTGCAGCAGCTGGTTTTCACCGGTGCAGCAGTTGCAGGTTTCTTAAGTCCTTGAGCGCTCGATCCTTGAACTTCGGGGCCGGAGTAATTCCCCTTCGGCGGCGAGCCCCAGCGGTTCAGCGGGGGATTTCCAGAGTCTCCGGGCTTAGCTGATGTAGCTGGCTTTCAGTTGACCGGCTTCTGGCAGCAGCTGGCTTGGCAGGTACAGCGGTCGGCTTCTTGTGCTCTTCTGCGCTCGGATCCTTGAACTTCGGGGCCGGAGTGACCTTCTTCGGCGGCGATCCAAGTGGCTCAGCGGGAACCTCAGAATCTCCCGGCTTGGCTGGGGCTGCAGGCTTTGCTAGTGGCTTCTGCCGCAGCAACAGCTGGCTTCTCACAGCGGTTGATTTAGGCGCCTCACTTGGATCCCTGAATTTCGGCGTAGGTTCCGCTTTCTTTGCTGGACCCTCCCAGCGTCTCAGCCGGAACTTCCTTGTCTCCAGGTTTGGCTGGCGTAGCTGGCTTTGCTACTGGCTTTGCCGCAGAAACAGCAGGCTTTGCAGCTAAAGGTTTAGGTTCCTCACTCGGATCCTTGAATTTTGGAGCTGGCGTCATCTTTTTCAGTGGACCTCCAAGTGGTTCAGCCGGAACTTCCTGGTCTCCAGGCTTGGCGACTGGCTTGGCGGCTACAGGCTTCGACTCCTCACTCGGATCCTTGAACTTCGGCAGCGGCGTGGCCTTCTTAGCTGGAGCGACACCAAGAGGTTCAGCGGGAACCTCCTTGTCCCCAGGTTTTACTGGTGTAATGGGCTTGGCAGCCGCCGGCTTCTTCGGCAAGGGCAGCGTCGCATCAGCTTCCGGCTCGGTTTTGAGCTTTGGAACCGGCTTAGCGTAGGTCTCAACAGTTGCTGACTTCAGTTCCTCGCCTGGTGGTTTGAACTTGGGAGTTACTGCCGGCTTTTTGGGAGCTTCAGACAAGAGATCAGCAGGGATTTCGCCATCTACCGGCTTCTTGGATGTTGCTGCCGGTTTTTTCGGCAAAGACAACGTGGCTGCAGCTTCCGGTTCATCTCCAGGCAGCTTTAATTTCGGAATTGTTTTGGAGCCCGGCTTGGCGACTTCGCCTGGCTTTGCTACTGGCTTAGCGGGCTCAGCTGGCTTCGTGCCCGGCTTTGCAGCTTCTGCAGGCTTCGCAACCGGCTTGACCGGCTCAGCCGCTTTTCCAACTGGCTTCACTGGTTCTTTAAAGTTTATAGTCGGCGTTTTCTTGGTCGGGGCTGGGCCTCCCAAATCTTCGCACGGAATCTCCTCATCGAAACTTGGCTTGGACGGGGCTTTTGAAGCCGGTTTGGCCACTGGCTTGGTTGTCCCAGTCACTTCAGGTTTCTTCAGGTCTCCAGGCTTTGTCGTGAGAGCAGTTTTTGGGTCTTTTGAAGCCGCTTCGCCCGGCTTTGTTGCCGGCTTAACAGCCGCTTTCTCCGGTTCCTTGAACGCAATCTTCGGGTCCTTTTTGGCTGCCGGTTTCCCGATCTCCTCACATGGCACCTCGTCCTCGGACGGCTTTGAAGCAAGTTTCCGAGTTTTTTTACCGCTAATGCCTTTCTTAGGCTCAGGCTTCTTTGCTTTCGGCTCGGCCAGCGTGAAGCTTTCACCGTAGAACACCATGGGTGGCTCTTTCGGCTCTTCCGGTTTTGGTTTCTCGGGCTCCGGCAGCTTGGTCGAAGCTGAAGCTGGAATATTCAAGGGAGCTGGCTTCCCCTTCTTCACCGGAGCCTCAGCTGGCTTCGCAGGTCTGCTTTGGGCTTGAAGCCGAAGCTCGATTCGGGCTCATCTTTTCGCCTGGGGCTTCTTCACGGGTAGGGAAAAAGCGGGGTCGACTTCGGCCCATCATCAACCTTGAGTTTCATTGGTTTTTTTCTCGTCCTTCTTGGGAGGGCGATTTAACTTTGAGTTCCGGCTCGGCTATGTCTTTGAGCTTCGGGAACTTGCATCGTCTTTTTGAATCGCCAATTCGGTGCGATTTCTTCTTCAGATTCCTCATCAGTGGGTAGGACCACTCTTCGTCTGACCCACTTTTCGTCCTCATCCTGGAATGTCACCGGATTGGCACAAAGCTAGAAATTTTTGCGTTCAGCAACGCTTTTGCAAGCTCATGCTCACTTTTCCGAAAAGACTGACTCTTTTCACCGCCTCATCCCCTTTTTACGGTAGTCGGCAAGCTTTGGAGTGATCTTTTCTTAGGGTGGGAAGGCTAAAACAGTTGATTAACCGTTTGAGGCTCTTTCAATTATAATGTGGCAACAAAAAAAAGCGTAAGGGAGTCTGAGGTTCATCCTTGACTTTAGCCCACTCCCTGCTTCGCTTCTTTTGTCATCTTCCTTCTTCTTTCTCGTTCTTCAGCTTTGGTTAAGCTTCTTGAAGCTGAGGGGCTGCTGGCTCTTCTTCATCGGTCTGAAAATCGAGATTAAAAGAACCTAGAAGCGATAGGTATGGATTTTTAGAGTCATGGATTTACTGAGACTTCTGCGGCAGGCAACACGCTATAGCCTATGCGTTGCGTGTCGCTGCTCACCAGAAAGCGTAACTTTTATTAACGCCACCTTTGTGTAGTACGGACCACTCTGACTCGTCCTCCTCTCCTTCTTCGTCGTAGCTGAACTCCTCGACACTGATCTAAATAAAATTTTGTTACTACTACATTTTTAGGGCTGGTACAAGGTGCACAACACTCCTGACAGCGTTTCTCTCTTCAAAAGAATGTGTGTGTAGAAAGAAAGTGCAGAAAAGCGCGACTCGATGCCCGGAAAAAGCAACAACTTAAATTTTTGGGTCATGAAAGGTGTAGATAGGAAAGGGTGGGGATAGAGAAATTTAGGGCTACAAAGTAAATCGCGTACGAAACGATGGCGGTAGTCATTTTCCTTTTTTCAGCCTCAGTTTGAAATAGCCGAGGATCGTGAATCGTAGGGGAATCTCTTTGAACAAAATGCTCGGCGATTTAGGAGAAACAATAGGACGATTAGATCGCTAAACTGATCAAAAGTTTTGAGCTCATGATTTGCAGTTACCTTTAAAATGGGATAAACGACGATAAAAAACGACAACAACAACAACTAAAACAGCCCACTCACCCTCATCATTCGCCGCCATCCGTCATCCAGACACCGGCATCCAATGGAAATTTGGTCAAAAGCTAGACGATACCGCAGATAGTTTTCCATCAAGCAATCGGTATGTGATCGGTATGGATCGAAACAGATCAGAGAGGATTAGAAGCCAAACACGAGAGAGTGAGAGCCGGTGGTATGCAAGTCGATTTTTGAGTACCTTCCTTTTCGCTTGGGGGGCCCAGTGAGCCTGAGGGTCTTTTGAGCGATCGATTCCAGGCACAACCTGGATGGGGGCTGTTTGACGACAGTCGGGAATGCCCCCCCGGGAGAGGAGAGAGAGAGAGAGAGAGAGATAGAGAGAGAGATATCTGAGGAAACAGTTTTCACAATGCTCGAGAGAGGTGAGCATGAGGGTGCCGATCAGCCTCCCATGGCTTAGTGCATCCGGTGGGGGGATCAAACATTCTTCTGCTTGCTTTCTTTTTCCTCGCCATTCGATATGGAGTTCAGGTCTAAAGGACACAGGTTGTTATTTTTGAACTTGCTTAAAAAAGTGGTATTGGAGCATGAGACCGCAAATTGGAGCACGAGAGATAGATAAAGCAAGTCAGAAAAGGAGAGAGAGAGAGAGAGAGAGAGAGAGAGAGAGAGAGAGAGAAAGCAGAGAGGAGAAACCAAACTCAAAACCATTTATTCAACAAAGCGACGACCAATCACTTAATGCAATCACAGGGCGAGTATCCGGAATGAAAAGTCGTTGAGTTTCGATTGTTGGCTGCCAGAAGAATTGTCGTTGCGATGAAAATTTGGTTTTGTGTGGGCGGGCGAGTAGTTGAAGGAGTTGGGGCGGAGGATCAGTCGAGCACCAAGAGCTTCGGAAGAGCCCGATCACATGATGGAGCACGTGCTGTAGTGGTAGCAGCACTGGAAAAGATGTTTTTCAGGCTCAGAAATTTCAGGATACCGGATCACAGCAGTAGCCATAGCCGGGGCAACCTCCGTAGTACAGTGGCGGGCCGAAGGAAAGGTGTAAATCGGAAAATCCGGAGCGTCTGTAGCTTCACTTACCCTTCCCTCCCTCTTCTCCTCTCTCTCTCTCTCTCTCTCTCTCTCTCTCTCGCTCTCTTACCGGGGTATTGAAGTAGGCCGGCGGCGGGGCGAGCGATTGCACGTAGACGACCTGCGGCGGCTGCTGCTGCTGGACCACGATGGGAGCCTAGAATTTCATTGCATGCCGCCTAAAACTTGTGCAACCTGTTGCTGGGGGCGGTACTGCGGCTGCTGCTGGGCGTACTGTGGCTGCGGTGCGTACTGTTGTTGTGGCGCGTACTGTTGCTGCGGGTACTGCGGGGGCGGAGCCTGAAAGTAATCAGGTTGAGAGAGAGAGAGAGAGAAAGAGAGAGAGCGAGAGAGAAAAGAGAGAGGAGAGAGAGAGAGAGAGTGAGCGCGAGCGGGCGATACCTGCTGCTGCTGCTGCCCGACGTACTGCGACTGCTGCTGGTAGCCCTTCGGCGCCTTGGTTTTCTGGAAAAACAAGGTATGGTAACTTAGAATCAAATGCGTAGTTTTAAAAATTTCGCTTCAAAATTTACCTAGACAAACGTCAAGAAAAGTAAAAACATACAACGGGCATCCTGGGAGATTGCGTAGAAGCAAAATAAAAGAATTTTCAGAAGTTTCGCTAATTTTCCGGCTTATGATAATTTAGATGCAAATCCAGGGCCTGTTATTTTTTTACTAAATGCTTATTTTCGAGCCTTTTCTCGGAAAGCAAAAAAGGCGCGGTTTTCCAGGAGTCCTAGGGATCCTTAGGCTGGAACGCGAGATGTAACGCCTGCGTCAATTCAATGCGTAATCGTTTGCAAGGTTACTACGCTAGGACGTGTTTTCTGGCCGCGTGATTTGCGTTACGCGTTGCGTCGCTGTCGCGTCAAAGGCGCGTCGCGTATGACACGACAAAGACCTCGCTACAAATTTTAACTAGCTTATCCATAGCGAAACCTAGTCCGTTCCGTTGAAATTCCATACCTTCTTCTTCTTCGGCTTGACCACCGGCGACTGCGCGATTTGGTCGGCAGGAGTCGGCGGCGTCTGCGGCGACAGGTCCGGCGACTTCTTCTGGGACTGAAAAAAGTCGAGGTGTAAAAGTTATTGCAAGTCTCAAAGCATCTAAACCTTACCTGATCAGGCGAAGCCGGTGCAGAGCCGGGCTTCTCCGGGATGTACTCACTTCGCGGGGCCGATCCTGAGTAGTCGGATGGAGATGGAATCTAGACAAATAAAGTGCTTTTTGAAACTGGTCAGGATCATTACCAAGCTCGGCGGCTTCGGCGAAAAAGATTGCGGAGACGGCGCCTTGGGCTTTTCTCCCGGAGCCGGCAGGTACTCACTTCGGGCCTCTTTCGCATGAAAAAAACGGTTTAGACTATTGGATTTTCTCGATCTGGTTTCGGTTCTTGCTCGTTAGCGGGGGTTGTACCTACCGCGACCTAGTATAAATTGCCCCCGCTAGGATACATGTACCAAAACTTTTCTTAGCGCATACATCGCATACCAACAAACTCAAACCTGCTGTCCAACGTATTGGGAAGCTTGTTGCTGCCGCTGAGGGACCATAGGTGGCGGAGGTGGCGGAGGAGGCGGTGGCGGTGGCGGAGCCTGCCTCGGGTAGTTGACTGAGCTCATCTTGCTCTTCGACTTTGACTTCGACTTAGAGTTGGATTTGGCTGGACGCGGTTCGCTTGGTGGCGGCGGGAAGTTTGCGTAGGGTGGTTCCACGGGCTGTGCGGGCTGAAAATAACAAGCTTGCTGTGAGCTCATGACGCCCTCCCACTCTCTGTTGCGCCCTTTCTCCGCGTGCGCTCTTTCTCTCTCTCTCTCTCTCTCTCTCTCTCTCTCTCTCTCCTCTCTCTCTCGCTCTCTCTCTCTCTCTCGCTCTCTTTCTATCTCTTGCTTTCTTCCAAGATCCCTGACCGACCTGCTGCGGCTGGTAGGGAAGTCGCGCGGGTTGCTGTTGTAGGGATTGATACTGCTGTCCTGGCTGCTGCCCTTGCTGAAGTTGTGGAGGCGGCAGCTGATTTGGCGGGACTTGTTGCTGTTGTTGCGCCTGAAAAAGTCGTTTTTACGGCAGGAGAAAAGAAAAACGCCATGTTGCGGCGCTATGCAATACGCTGCACTACGTAACACCTGAGTAGCGTACACTGTACGAAGCAACGCAACGCTATCGAACGCTACAATGCGATTCCGTACATGCGATACGTTACGTTTTCTTCTCCATGTAGCGCTTACGATACGCTGCCATAGAAAACAGTTCGCTTCGACCCGGTACGCGAAGAAATGTCACGCTTCAGGATGTTCGAAAGATACAGTAGGCTACTGTACGCCAGTGTGCGCTATTGTACGCTGCTGTACGATACGTGAAAAACGGTTACCATTAGAAAAATATATCTAATAGAGCGCAAAATACCATCCGTTGCGTTACTCTTTGGAAAAAAAGCGATAAGCTACGCTACGCTACTATATGATACGTCACGTCACGCCAATGTTCAGTAAGGTACGGTACCGTAGTGTACGCCATGCTGATCTTCGCGACCGTAAGGCACACTTATGCCCGTTTCTCTACTGTGCGCCACGTTATGACGCGCCCGTACGATTCCCGTGAGCATCTTGGTAATCCTTAATGGACTGTACTTGTTGAGCCGGCAGCTGCTGCTGCTGCTGTGGGTAGTAGGGCTGGGATAGCGGCGTCATCTGCTGCCGCGGGTAGGAAACGCTCGATGGTGGCTTCTTCTTCGAGGTGCTCTCCGGAAACTAAAAAAATCATGATCGGAATTGATGAAAAACTTACGCCCATCTTGGCGGTGGGCGAGTACGAAAATGACAAGATTGCGGGGAAAGGGTCGTGATTCATTTGTCGGAATCAAAGCTAATGATGCAAATTTTAGGCCAATTTCATCGGTTTTCTAAATTTTGTGGAAGGCTACTTTTTAAGCCTTTTCTGTTTAAACTGAAGTTTAGTTTTGCAATTTTTGTTTATGAGGTGAAGTATATAAAAAGTTTCAGCCCTTGATTTCCGAATTACACCCAAAAACTTAAATAACGTAAAACTATTCTTCCAAGACCAGTATTTTGTGGCTTGAGAGTCAATACCTTTGGAGCCATTTCTCACACATGCCCACACAATTTCGGTGCGACGCGAAACTCCTGAAAAGGGCTGATTTGAATTCTAAAAGCGGTTCTCACACGATAGCGGGACTCGACAAAAATCGACAACGTTTCTCGACAAAAATATATTATTGACGGCGACCGTCGCAGTATCCTCAATTTCGAGAGGTTTTTAAGCGCATGCCGTATACCTTGATTTTCATACTCATGGTCTGCGTATTTCCGTTGCTCATCTTTTATTTTGTGCCGAATTTTGCGCCAGTCTCGGCCAATGGAGATGGTTTATACTTTATTAACCTTACAACCTCGGATACAAAGGTATGAGTCTAAGTCCATTAAAGAGAGTCAAGGCCAGTCAAGGCCTCGGGTTATTTACTGATTTAAGGTCCCGTCCGTTCCAACAACATATTGGTGCGTAGTGGAAAAAATGCCGGAGAGGCTGTTGAGTCAGAAGCATCATTTGGTTAAGGTATGTAAGAACCCACAAATACTATAATTGTAGTTTACGCCATCTAATCTTTCCCGATCGACAATTGATGATTTTTCAGCTCGAACCGATCCTACAACCCCATGTTCCAGGGCTGATCCATCACGTTAGGGTATGTCTCTTTTTTTTGTCTAGCGAAAGGGATAAATTTCTATCTTTTTGCTCGTATGCCTTTATTGATAAGCATTCATTTCTATGTCGTTTTTAGTAATTTTTTATTGCTAGAACCCCACCAAAATTTTTGAGAAATTTGGAACTAGAAAAATTTGAACCTGATTCAAAATTGCGCCCCCGCTAATAGCCTAGTGTAGCTTTTTCAGCTTTTCGGATGCGAATCAACAGCTACAACACCATACAATGGACCATGCGACGAGATCGACGGTGCAAAACGTTGCAAAAAGGAGATTGCTGCCTGGGGAATTGGTTCAGCTGGGGTATGCTACTCGTTTCGAACTCTGGGCATTTTTTTATCAAACCGGAATTTGAAGAGTTACGAAGATCCATGCATTGATTTACCTTATACTCTAATCCTTCGGTTAGTATTATTTTAATTCCCAGGCCTTCATCCTCCCGGAAGAAGCGGGGTATTCAATAGGCGGTCCAGACATTGTGCCGTACTACATGATCGAGATCCACTACAACAATCCCCAGCAGAAATCAGGCCTTGTCGACAGCTCGGGGTTGAGGTTGAGCGTCACCTCCAGACTTCGGTAATGTATTTGCCGAGCAAAGTAATCGGTCATTCTAGCCCCTACGATGCAGGCGTCCTATTAATCGGTACCCCGGCCATGTCGAAATCGATGGTGATTCCGCCTGGACAAAGAGGTTTTGCTTTCAAAGGACTTTGTCCAAAGCAGTGTACTGAAAATGTGAGTTTAAAGGCATAAGGAATTTTGCCACAAGACGAACCGCATACATGCACCGCAACAAGGCCAGAAATTCACTATGACAAAGCTCTCGGAGAGGGGGAAAATTTTTCAGTTACCGCCCACCGGCATCAAAGTTTTTGGCAGCGAGCTCCACGCTCACGCAAGCGCCACGAAGCTCTGGGCGACGATAGAACGAGAAGGTAGGATGCAGGAAATGCCCGCAATTCACCCCATTTTTTACAGGAAAAGCCATCGGTGATCTAGCCAGACTCGACCCATTTGTACCGGCTGATCGGCATCTGCAGCTATTTGACCCGCCAATCACTATTATGCCTGTATTAGAAAAACGCGTTTAAAACTTTTTCTCGCTGTAGGGTGATGTTCTCACCACCGTATGCCAGTATGAGACGACAAATCGAAACGAGACTACGTTTGTAAGTGGACCTCAACTCCTTGTTTTCCTTTTTAAAACTAAATTTAAAATTTTACTATAGTGAAGAAAGAATGATAAATGGAACGAGAGAGAGCGAGAGAGAGCAAAGAAAGAGAGAGCGCGCGAGAGAGTGAGAGAGGGTGAGAGAAAGCAAGAGAGAGAGAGACAGAGAAAGAGAGAGAGAGAGAGAGAGAGAGAGAGAGAAAGAGTAAGAGAGAAAGCGAAAATACAGTATCGTAATAAAAGCCTGTACGTTTTAGAGCGGTCCCGGTCATTCCAATGAGATGTGTATCAATTTCTTGCTATACTACCCGACGGTGGAGGTTGGGTATTGTTTTAGTGAGCCGAACAATGAAGCGCTGGACGAATTTTTCGACAGAGGGTGAGCGGTTTTCTAGTGGAAATGGCGCCCGTTTTCAAAAATTCCGCAAAGTCACGACGTTTTCAGCAAACAGGTCAACGCAACAGACCCATTTGCAAATTTTACCTGGACTGATGGCGAGGCACGGCGTTTAGAAAGGCTTTATGAAACTGGGCCCTACAAGTTCAGTTGTCTCAGCAAGGAAGGAGGGCCAATTCTTGTAAGCTTTTCCAAAAAAAAAAACTTTTGTTTAATTTGAAATCTAAATCCTACTATATATAAAAAAATAGTGTTTGTGTGTGTGTGTGTGTTTTGTCATCTGAATTCAGGAAAATTATGCAAAGTGAAGGATAAAACGGGGTCAGACAGGGCCAGGGTTGAAAAGTCGCGAAGCGACTTTTCAACCCTGGTTTAAATTTTATAATGTTATTATTTAGGGGTCTCAGGAGCCGCATCATCAAGGAAATCGAGTCGAAAAATGAGCAATGGCTGAAGCACTGTATTGCCTGTAATAAATCGACATAAAATATAACCAATTGCTAAAAGCGCACGCGAATATTTGCACGAAAAAAAAGAATTGAAAAAACCCGATCGTTCAGATGCATTGAAAATCCGAGCAAAGTTCCTTCCCAGTCATCTTGCAAAATCTGGTCACACATTTGCAGTAAAAGTTACATAAATTTTTGAGCTCTTTTGTGTTCTCCCATGTGGTCCCAGAACGAATTGGCAGAATGGCTGGGATCTGAATTTCGTAGTGATTTCTCACAGAAGTTTGGACGAATGCCACTGGGCGGGTTGCTATTCTAAATTCTACAGAAGTACACGTACAAAACACGTATAAGTACGCAAAACAGTTCGGAAAAATATCAAAGTTGTGCTTGCCAAAATGCGCCAAAACTGTAACTTTATCGCCGTACTCAGCGTCTTTACTTTCCTGTTCTTCTATTTGTTAACTCGATTTCTCAAAGGTTATGAAAATGAGGAAGAAGCGGAAGAGGATGAATATTTTATTAACCTTACGACATCTGATACAAAGGCACGGTTTTGCTAAGCTGAACTAAGCTAAGATTTTCAGATTCCATCGGTACCAACAACCTATTGGGTGTGAGGTTGTGAAAATGCCCGATCGGCTGATGATCCAGAAACATCACCTAATCAAGGTAAAAAATTCATACTAAAACCTCTTGCTCCTTGCAAGAGGTTTTGCAAATTTTGACAACGTTTTACATGCGTTTTGAATTTTTTTTCAGTTTGAGCCAATCTTATACCCGCACATCCCAGGCCTTGTTCACCACATTCGAGTAGGTCACAGGACTTGTTCAGTTTTTCGAAAAGCGTAAGTATTATATTTTTCAGCTTTTTGGATGTGATGCAACAACCGCAGGTCCATATAGCGGACTTTGCGACAAATTTGGTTTAAAGCGATGCAAGAGAGACATCGCGGCTTGGGGGATCAACTCGGCAGGGGTTGGCAAGATTTTACGTTTGACTACATATCCTGACACTTTACATACTGTTACGTAATGTTTTTATTGTTTTCTTTTTAGGCGTTCATCCTCCCCAAAGAAGCCGGCTTCCCCTTCGGTGGGCCGGAAGTTGTCCCCTATTACATGATCGAGATCCACTACCATAACCACGCTGAAAAAGTCGGACTCATCGACAATTCGGGGTTGAAGCTGACTGTCACTTCCAGTTTGAGGTACTTTAAGTTTCTTACTGTTCTCCTCGACCTGATTCCAGCATGAAATTCTTCTTTTAGGCCCTACGATGCTGGTGTTCTTCTGCTTGGTACTCCAGCTACTTCCAAAGCTATGGTGATACCACCATCGCAGCGGGATTTTCCTTTGAAAAGCGTTTGTACGAAGGAGTGTGCTGCTCTTGTAAGGGTGTTGCCAGAATACAAACCCGTTTTTAGTTCCCAACTACTGGTATCAAGGTTTTTGGCAGCGAACTTCATGCTCATGGTGCTGCGAACAAGGTTTGGACGAGTATCGACCGAGAAGGTCTAGGTTTTGAAAGTTGTAACATGCGTTAATCTAGGTAAACCAATCAGCGATTTCTTGCGAATCGACCCATTTCGGGCTGCAGATCAACACTTTGTGATGTTCGATCCGCCAAAGACGCTAATGCCAGTATAAAACTTGACCATGACACTTTCATTCGATTAGGGTGATTCCCTTACTACTGTCTGCATCTATGATACCACTAATCGAACGGAGACGACTTTCGTAAGTATCAAAGTATATAAAAACTGTTCTTTATTTTCAAAAAATCCAGTTTTAGAGCGGACCCGGGCACTCTGATGAAATGTGCATCAACTTTTTATTGTATTACCCGGCCGTCGAAGTGGGATACTGCTTGAGCGAGTTGCAAGATGAAGCTCTTGTGGAATTTTTCGAGAATAGGTTTGTGTGGTTCAAGCTTCCATTTTGAAGAGGCATAAAAATTGCATACAACCTTGATGAACGGCGCTCAATGAATCAATTTAGAAAAGATAAAAACTATTCGAATTCTTTCACCAATTTTACTTGGGCCGCTGATGACGCACCAAGACTGCAGAAAGTCTATGATTCTGGGCCTTATAAATTTAGCTGTCTCAGCAAGGAGGGCGAGCCGATCTTGGTGAGTTGAAACTAAATGAAATTGATTCGATTCAAATTAAATTGTTATTCTCGAATTAAAAAATTACGCCATTTTTAGACAACAAGAAGAAGAGCAGCTTGAGCGACGAGGGACGTATTCTAGGCATAAATTATCGCGCCCACAAGGAATGTAGGAAAAGTGCAATAAATGGCATTTGTTTCGCGTCACTGATCAAGACGCGTTTTTCTATAAATTTCCATCCGGTATAGTTCTAGCTGAAAGGTGGCGGGCTTCACCGCTCGAGACTCCCAGCTGGTCTCAGTGTGCGGATCCTTGTGTCATTACAGTGTTTAGGAAACGAAGTTTATTATCGTAAACATGGCAAGCAGAATTGCGTAAGGTTACTTAGTTACGTGGTAGCCAAGATTCTTTGGCTGGTGAACCGATGTCGAAGCCGATTCAAATAGCATGTTCTCCCTCCTTTGCCCCTTTTCTTCTTTCTAGGTTTTGATGATCGCACGGCATCGTCGTGTTTTAATTGCAAGGCGATAATCTCGCGTTTCAGCTCGTCAACTTTCACGTCAGCTACCTATGAAAAGTCAACATTTACCGGCTTACATTCCTTACTTTTATGATTTTCCTCGAGCTCCAAAAATTGTCAAATTCTTGTTGCATATCTTGCTCGTAGGCCATTTTCTCTGAATCAATTATTTTTTTGAAAAGCCTGTTGAAAATTACCTGCGAGCTGCACGTCATCAAGCTGAATTTTGTAGTCACCCAACTGGGGGTCGCCCATTTTGATAAACACGCGCAATCGGGCGGCGATTTTTGCCAAAATTGGCCGCAGTTCGGAGAAATGGACCATCATAACGCCTGGAAATGAAAGTATAGTGTCGTGCTTCGGATTTATAGGGCCGATAGGCGGCGTTGAAAACGGATTATTTTCATTTTGTCGAAACATCATTTGTCGAATTTTTCGTCGAAATAGCATTTTGTCGAAGTCATTTCGTCAAAATTACAATTTGTCGAAACATTAATCTTTTTATCCGATTATTCATCGCAAAATGTCGAAAATTGAGGTATTTTCGAAAAAATGATTTTTTTTTTGCAAAATGAACGTTCGAAAAAGTGCTTTTTCCTGAAAGGGATATTTTGACAATGATTTTCGACAAACTGATAACCAATTTGAGAGAAAAATCGAGGCGAAATCGCCTTGAAGTTTCGATAAAAAGAAGTTTCGACAAAATGAAATATCGACAAAATGCTTTCGAAGAAATGATGCCATGTCGGCAAAAATTTGATATGCAACCCGCCCGTATAGCAATCTGGCATATCCGAATAAATGCGATCATCCCATTTTTGACGAAGTTGGTGGGACTGTAAAAAATCACCAAACCTTCATGAAAATTGTGAAACCCGAACCCATTCGTCGTCGGTGTTTTTGCCATAATAATGCGCATCCTCAAGATGTAGAGCTATAGAAATAATTACGAAATATAGTTCTGGCCAAACCCGCATCAATTATCTGTATAGGTGTGAAGCCCGGCCCGCGTAGTAGCGGAACTTCAGGATCAAAGCCGAGCGATTCCTTCTTCCACAACACGAGTAGGGCACCAAAGTGATCCCCATTTCCCATGACGAAAATTGGGTACGCCGGGATGTCATCGCCAAGTGCTTCGGTTTTGGCTAGTAAATCGTCGATGAGCAAGTGTAGAATAAATTGTTTTTGACGCAACTGCCAATAGATTAGGTAGCGAAAAGCGCGTTCATAGAACGCGTGAGCATCGATGAATGCCTTTTGTTTAGGCGTTGGGAGTGCCTTGGATTTAGGGGGCGGAGCATCCCACTGGGTCTAAAACAGTTTTGAATCGTCCTAGAGCAAAGAACGATTTTTTAGAATTTAGGAGTTGTTAAATAGTAACACTGCTTCACTTACCTTCAAGCTAAACGGCCATGCTCTTTCATCGCCGACTGTCGGTGGCCGGTTGGGGTTGAAAACGTATTTCAGAGGCAGGGTTTCCAATTCTTCTACGCGATCCCAGCGTTCAGCCCACCTAAAGAAGCAATTTATTGTTTTTCAAATGTATTTTGTTCCAGTTAGCTGCCCTTATTCCATTTTACAACCACAATCGATGAAATGCCACAAAGTTCGTAAAAGTTACCTCGACCTTACGTTCTCATATGATGCCCAGTTCTCAATTTCCGGGTAAGCGTCGAAACGACCCATTGACCGCACCCGATCGGCCAGTGCGCGCTTTAGGATTTCTCCGACCGGTCTGGTAAACTGCGACCCGTAACGCGCCGAATTCACGCTAGCCCGTCGCACGGCTATAAAATTGCAAGATTATGGAAATTCGGTTTCTCCAGTGTAATGCAGCATGTAACAAAACAATGTTATTCCGCCCTAACCTTACCCTCAAAATCCATCCGAATCTCCCACTTGGTGCCCGGCCAACTCATCCAGGGATGATTGACGCCATATGGTGTCGCCGTCGCCACCTCGTAGCCCGTACTGCACTCAACAACCTTCAACCCGAACTTGGCGGCCTCTTCGACGTTTTTCAGTGCCCGTTCGGTCAGGAGTTTCCAGTCCCGTGTCCATCCCAAGCAACAAAAATCCGGATGCCGCGTCATTGTGTAAAACGCGAAGCTCCATGCGCAATCGAACAGCGTCGCGTCGAGCCAGAGCAACTGCAGAAATGGGGCGTGCAGGAATAGCGAATACTGCTTCGAGTTGAGGCTATCGGGTAGCGGGATCGCATCAAAGTTTCCTTCTTTACTTAGGGCTGCTTCGTAGTTTTTGGCGTGGTTTGGAAGTTCGCCCGGCGGAGTTTTGGCCTAGATGAGGAGTTCAAGGCATGTCAAATTTTTCAGACCTTGAACGCCTCAGCGATAGCACGCCGGATTCCATTGATTTTCTGGCTATGAAAATTTGCTTCCCAGAAGTGCTCCCGGAAGCGAGCAGCTGGTAGGTTGTAGCCAGGATCGGACTCTGAGGTAGAGGAGATCCATAGATCAGGGACCATGTCGTCCCATGCGTCGAAACCGAGTTGCCAGCCACGTTCGGTCCTAGAAAGGTGTTCGTAGGATTTCCATTATGCCAAAAAAATTTTACATCGCTGACGCATGACGCGTTTACTCACCAATATTGATGACCCCGTAGCCGAAAGTTCATGATCAAATCATCGAAGTCCGTCTCCAGCTCCAGCGTCTCCAACCAGCGTTGAAATTTTGGGTAGGGCTCCGCTGGTTGTTCGCTTTTCGCTTCAAAAACTTGTTGCCCCATGCTTGACGCTCCCCAGATTGAGGCGGCTGGGACGTGGATGACTTCTTGGATAGCGACCTCAATATTCCTTCCATCCAGCCCGATTGGTTTGAGAAGAATTTTGTGGTTGAATCGGATCTCGATCGAGTGTTTGTGGTTAGGGACCTGAAGCGATGATTCAGGAGGTTTTAGCGACTCACCAGGTTCTCGAGCAGCATCAAAACTTCACTTGCACTTGGTCGTTTCTGAAAATCCTCTTCGCAGGCCCTAATTTTTTATAGAGCGTTAGATCAAAGCTTACTTTTTGCACAAGGGATAAGAGCTGCGCTCCTGGGGTATTTCCTTGCTGATCTTCCTGGTTGTAGTATTTTTCTTTTCGTAGAAAAGGTCTAAAGCCTATTACGATTAGCTCTGAAGGTCTCTGAAGCTGAGAGCCGGCCTAAAATTCGGATTTTCAAGCCCTTACCTTCTCGTCATTGTCTCCCAAATAACCAGTCCCATTCCATAGATATCACACTTGAAACGTTGCTTAAGGTATTTTATAAAGCAATAAAATGGGCCCGACAAACTTCAATCGGCACCACTTTCTCTTGCCTAACTTCCGGAGCCATATAGGCGGCAGTTCCGCGAAGTGTAAAATCCGGATCATCCGCCATCCTCATTATTCCGAAATCCCCGATTTTTGGGGTGTAATCACGGTTTAGAAAAATGCTGTAAATTTTGATGACGCGACTCTCAAACGACTTACTTTTCCGGCTTAATATCGTAATGAACAATCCGCTTTTCTTCCATGTATTTTAGGGCATCGAATAACCCAACCGCCCAGAAAATTAGCGTTCCGTCAGTATAGACAATCTCGGGGTTGGTGATTACTAGAATTAACTGAATTCAACCACTTTCGGGGCCAATAGGTAAGAGTTTACTTTACCCCCCACAGCCGAAGGGTTTCAAAGTTTTCGGTATTTTCGCCTATTTTGTCGAGATTTTTGCAACGTCGTTCGATAGAGCGTCGAAAAATATACTAAGAGTTTTCATTTGAGCCTACAATAATGAAAAATAAAAAAGTTATAGCAAAAACCGACTGGGGTGGGGGAAAGTAAACCGTAGCCGGCAAATACCTGAATAAAGCGTCCCACATTCACAGTACTCCATGAAAATCGAAAATTCGCCGGCATGGTCAGGCTGGTAATTTTCTGGTTGCTCGTAGAAGCGGACGATGTTTTCGTGCATCAGTAGCTTCAAGGTTTTCAGCTCCTTGTCGAATTCTGCGGCTGAGCAGTTCAGCTTTTTCACGACCAGCCTTCTAAACACAGAAATATGTACAGAAATTATCGTTTTAGCTTTTTGGATCGCGATTGTGGTTACAGTATTTTCAGCACTTTTTAATTCACGGCCAAAATTTACTTGCTGTGCCCATCCACCTCATAAACGGCACCAAAACCGCCACGCCCAATCGTTCGGCATCGAATATCCATTACATCGAGTACAGAAAATTAAACTTTCACAAAATGTGTTTATAAAGGCTTAGATAAGTTTAATTTAACTAGTTTTCAACCTTATCTTTCTCCACATGCCCTGTAAAATCCACTCTGCTGCAATCGACACCCCAAAAACATGGCGTAATCGATTCCCCCTTTCGTGTCCATGTTTGCGCTCGGGTATTTTAGTAGTCAATTTATTTTTATTCTTTTCAAAAAATTAGGTTACAAAGTGGTTTTCGTCTTATCAGCGTGTCAATCAATATTCAAATTTAATCCCCGCCGAACAGGCACACTATTGATTGTCGCACCAAAAGGCATTAGTGTTTCAACGTAAAATATAGTGGCACGTGATAAAGACGCAGATGTGAAGCCGGAAATATGGAGGAAGAAGAGCAAACGTCATTTTCAAACATCAATAATTCGGACCCTGAAGGTATGCGGAGACCTTACGATTTTATCAAATCTCGGAAAGCCACGCCGGCAAGAGGTTAGTTTTTCATTAAATTTTTCTTGTTTGTAACCTATGTAGATAGCTAAATATGAATTGTTTAACCAGTTATTAACATGCTTCAACATCCAAAGAAATTTTAGAAACACCAAGCCCGAGCTCCTCGAAATCCGGCTTCCCGTTCGAATGGCTTCCGGTGGAACTTCGCGAGAAGGTCTACGCAAAAACGAACCTGCTCGAAAAGGTGGATTTGAGAAGAAGCGGGACGGTAGATCATTAGTTTTCGACGGAAATCAAATTATTTTAGATGTTCGCCGATTTGAAGCCGCTCCCCTTTTATGCGAACACAAAAATGGACGAACTGACGGTTACGCTGGCTTGGGTGAGTTTTAACTCCTAGATTTTGTACCGGAAATAGCCAAATAAACCTTGCTGGCTCTTCTTGTTGTTTTCTTCGTAGTGGTTATCGATACCTGAAAATAGAATCCACAGGAGAACTGCCCGAGCAGCCAGGACCTGCGACGACAGGCCGGACGCCAGAGTGTTAACATCATGCTCACCGACGATTTCGGGCCAGAAGTCCGAGTGGAATATATTTACGACGCTTATGGGTAAGTTAAACTTACACGCGAGTATTCGATAACTACTAAGCCATAAAAAACCCAGTCAAGTCCGTTTTTCAAATTTCATTAGAACGTAGATTTCCCTATTTTTCATATTGCTATTTCTATTACCTAATTATCCTAAAATTTTTGTAATAAATATTGTCAAAAGTTATTGCAAAAGCTTCGATTTCCAGATGTGAACAAAGCTTAACTCTTTGCAAAGCTTGTAACCTCAGCTACTGGTGCCGGTCGTGCCGAAGTTGTCATGGATGCTATGATGCTAAAACTAGGTAAGTATCTCTTTTCTCTCTCATCTCTCTCGCTCTCTCTCACACTCTGTCTCTCTCAGTCTCGCCCTTTCTCTCTCTCCCTCTCTCTCTCTCTCTCTCCTCCCTCTCTCTCTCGAGCTCTCTCCCTCTCGAGTGTTAATCCATAAATCTCCAGATGCACAGCAACGTGTCGACATCAAGATGGGAAAGTTTGTATCGTCGCCAAACGATCATTCGACACGAAGAAAGCAGCAGTTCGACTTCGTCAACCGTTTCACGAGGACGTTCCCGGACTTTTGGAGCTACACACTGTCGGCACATGACCGAAAGGTAGGTCAAATGGACGGTTTTAGCTTCGTTTTAGTAACAGTTTGATGCTTCTAATCCTCGATCTCATGATGGAACTCAGATATTGATTTAAGGTGGCTCGTCACGCTAAAAAGCTCGACTTCGTTCACGGACCCTTTCGATATTACATGGACAACTGGGTGGCCGAGTTTGAGAATGAGGACAATCGGCCCAGCGAGATGGATATGGAGGAGCAGTGGGGATTGGATGTCATTCCGACACCGGCCTTTGTACGTTTTTTTGTTAAGATTTTGGGAATATTATTTTTCTCGCGAGCTTACTTAACTACATTTCATTTTTCAGGCCAGCGTCGCCTTAACCGGATATGAAGGCGAAGATCCAGCTGATTATGCGAGCTTCTGGAGACCGGTAGGTAGCTAATTAGGAACAACACGATAGGAGAAAACTAGATAGATTATTTGTTTTCTAAAATTATCAAATGGGTTAGAAACCTGAAATTATCGAGATTTTTTAGCTCCGAAATTTCCCCTTCCTCGAGTTCACGATCCCCGACCGAGAAAATGAGTGCTGGGTGGCGATGTGGGACGAGTACGACGTTTTTGAGCAAGCGCTAATTCATGTGAGCACCTAAAACTCCTCTTTGAGCTCGTAGAAGCTAGATTTTGGCTGCATACAGGCTTTTAGCCGGTTGAATAATTTTATTGATTGAGCCTCTTTCAGTGTCCGCCGGAAGCCGAGCAAAAACGGATAATCATCGCTGAGCAGCCAGATCATCATGATGTGAGTATCTTTCTCCACCTCCGTGTCGCTCTCTCTCTCGCTCTCTCTCTCTCTCTCTCTCTCTCTCGCTCTCTCTCTCTATCCCTTTTTCTCGCTTTCGCTTGCTTCGCGCACACTGCGGTTCCTGAAGTTTTCGCAAATCTGTAACTTTTCCAGGTATTCGCCGATGGTGTTGAATTCGAAGCTCACGTCAAGGATATGCTCGAAACATTAGCGCCCAGAATTCGGGCTCAAACTCAAGCTTATCGCGCCGTCAGTACCCGGACAGGTGTTGAGGGGCCCACATCGACGATTGTGAGTATTGATAGAGCCTCAAAGATCGAGCACGAGATACTTCACTTTCGGCACTAAAATTTATAAGGCTGCCGACGGCATGTGTCGATCCCCCCACCAACAGATCGGCAAATAGCTAAAAGGGCACAGCGCGGGACCGTAGGGAGAGACGCAGAAACATTTCCTTTCCAGCGCGCAACCGAATGATTATGCCGTCGGCATCCCTTTAAAGAATTCAGAAATAGCTGGATTTCGAGGATACGTCATGCTCCTCGGGCCACTTTCAAATATGTGTATTTTTAGGCCTCCGCCTTCAAGAAACGCCGTTGCATCATCATCCTCCAGAATCAAGGAATCGAGGAGGCTCAGGCCGAGATTGAGCGTTACCTCGGGAAAGGATACATTTTATCGGATTCCTGGCAAACCTATGAGGTCGGCGGTATGGCCGAGAACTTTACATTGAGAGATCGTTAGACAGTTTGCTTGTTGAGTTTTGCCCTTTCTACCTCTATTCCATCGTGAGAAGCCCCTCAGTTTTTGTTTGATCGTTGCCGGGTTTTGGATAAACATTTTACTTACAAGTTTCAAAAAAACACATCGCAAATAACGGATTATCTTTCGTAAACAGGGCATAGCAAACAAAAGTACTCTAGAAGGCCAGCCGGATATGGTAAAAAGTATATATTTCCGTTTTTTTTCTAATCCATTGAGATTGGCTTCAAACGTCGACTGCAAAACGGTCAAAACATGATTTTCAATCTCTCCCCATCTCGCTCTCTATTTCTCTCTCGCTTTCCCTTTCTCTCTCCCTCTATCTCTCTCGCCATCTCTCTGTCTCTCTCCCGCTCTAACTCTTTCTCTCTCGTTCCTCGCCGCTCTTTCCCTCCTCTCTCTCTCTCTCTCTCTCTCTCTCTCTCTCTCTTTCTCTCTCTCCTCGTTTAGAAACTTTCCCAACAAGTACACAAGCGCCTAAAGTTTCAATTGCTCCCATTGGTCCACAGCAATTCCATAAATTTTTAAAGGCACCTACAAGCGCGGGAATGTTGTTGTGTTCGCGCGCGCTGGACGGGGCCCTAAATTTCTTTGTTTTCCACCTCGAGGGGCTCGCGGAATCCGAAATTTCGCCTCAAATTCTGGTCTGCTGGATTCGCATATTTGTTTGACGATGAGCGTCACGCGGATTTCATTACGTCTGGATTCCGCAAAGGTTGTTGGCTTTGGGATTACTGCAATTACACCGGGTTACGATAGCTGGGGCACGGAGGAGGGCGGGGTTTGGGGCGCAGGTTAAAAGGGGCGGGAAAATTTGTCTGAAGACAGATTTTGTATATTTTGAAAAGTTTATCTAATTTTTCAGGGAACTACTAAGCGAACTAAAATCAGTTTTTTTTCTGATTAATAATGATTTTCAGAAATTTTTAACTCAGTTTCACTCGTTAAAGTTTTATTTTTACTTCAAGCAAATCTATAAAAGAATTTTGAAAATACTTAATTATAAAAGTTGACTCACCGCCAATCAAAACTACCACTTTTATGGATTCCTTAATTTGTTTTCCCATGTCCAGATCGTTCCGTGAAAACTGGGCCCCGCCGCGCACTTTTCAAGCCGTAATGGGTAAATATGGGTAAATATTAGGTTAAGGTATGCGCATAACAAATGGAAAAGTCTTCCGGATTCTAAACTATGAACTCTACGAGGAGGGTTTGGGACGTTAAGGGCTCTTAAAAAGTATCTGCTAGTCTGCCAAATGTGAAATCAATGACAAATTGGAGTAAGAGTAAAGCCTATTTTGTTCTCCTGCTACTACAAACGCAAAGCCTGAAAACATAAAAATCCTCAAAGAATAATAATAATAATAATAATAATTTATTCAACACTAAGGTTTCAATGAGAAACGCTTAAAAGTGAGGGAATATGGGAGGAAAAACGAGAAAGAGGAAAAAAATTGGAATAGCAAGAAAGAAAAAAGTCAATAATGATGAGGAAAGGGGCATGGTTATATAAAGGTTAAGATAGTACATAATCCATTGGAATGAGTTTGGCTATAGATTTACGAAAACTTTCACATGTTGAGGCAGAGACGATTGAGGGGGGGAGGGAATTCCAGGTTGAGCAGGTTCTTGAGCCAAAAAAAGGCTTTGTGGTAGGATTTTTTAGACGATATTAGAGGTCGTAGTTTGTAGGGGAGGCCACGAGTGGAAGAAGCATTGGTACTAAAAAATGTGCTAGTAGAAACATTAGAAGAGTAATTATGGAGTTTATAAAGGAAGGAATAGTCAGCAATTGTGTTCCTATAGTTCAGCGGTTGGAGATTGAATTGTTCTAGTGCCGAACGATAAGACTTGTAATCAACCCTACATCGATAGCAAACTTTTCTAAGAAAATCCTTAAGTAGGGTAATCTCTGCTAGATCGCCCTCCTTGAAATGTTTACTAAAAGCCGGGTTGCCGGATTTACCAGGCATCAAAAATTCCCAAAACTCATGAATTTGGCTGAACCAGATCCCTAAAAAATAGTTAAAACAGTCCCTAGTATGGTTTCTCGAGAACATCTCTGCTGGCAAGAATCCTCGGCACAACTTCGAAAATGGTTATCGTTAGGAATCTCAAAAATCCGCAAAGAATCTCCGCTAGGTTGTTGCTGTCGGGCCGCCCATTGGAAGCGTGCACCCTGATTGCTCTACGCACCTCTCCCAAAGCATAACTGCTAGCATGCCCTGATCAGTCAATTGAAAGGATGGACATCTTCAGCCTACTAAAAAATCCCTCGTTCGCAAACTATTTCTGCTAGCTTGACCTTGCTGGGTTGTAAGGACAACATACACAACACAACTCCCATACCCACAAATTTCTCACCGAATCTCTGCTAGGCCTCCACCTCCAATTATTTATTGAAGCGCTTTTTATGAAGTAAATCATTAAAAACTAGAACTTTTGGTCATTACGTCTTTTGGTGCAGATTCCTGATCCCGCCTAATTTGTTCTATGGACCAAAAAAGTCCAGAATTCCCCGAAAAATAATTAATCCTCGCCCCGCCATTGCTATTCAAACACATTTTCCGACTGATTGTTTGGCGATACGGAAGTTTTTTTTTCCGAGCGGAAACAAGTGTTTTTTCGAGTTTCCGGGGCTGAATTTTGATTTTGGGGGTCAAGTTATACGCGGCCATGAATTATTTATGGAGCTGGAAAATAAAAGTACGATTTTTCTTTGCGCGATCCAGACAATGCATTTTATCGTCTTCTCGCTTTTCCACGCAATTTAGCGTTATAAAACTATAAAGTAGCACTTGGAATTTCACTCCCTGCAAAAAAGAGCTTCCCGCCTTTTCATAATTCGAAATGAATCATAGAGCTTCTTCTCACTCTTCATTTTTACAAATATGTTTTTCCATTAATTTTGCTAAATTTTTAGCTAGACGACAGATTTCTAGAACTATTTACTTTTATTAAAATCTGAAAGTATCTAGGATCAAAAAGATTAAAATTAAATAGCTAGTTTTTTAGACCTGCTTTTCACTAATTTTTAATATTAAGGGCTTCGAAAGGCATTTAAAATCCTCTAGAAATTTTTAGCGAGATGACGCACCCTTACATCACCATTTCCGGCTATCAAATATTCTCCGACAGCTCTTTCTTTGGTCCCACCCACGTGAGTTGTGTCCAGCATAATTCGAAGGCCGAAAAAATCGGGCCGAACTCCCAGCTTGCCATTTCCACCCGCGCCGCTGTGTCTGTGTGTGCCTAACAGCTTCACGGCTGGTTAATCCCATCAAATGACGACGTGCGGACGGGCAGAAAAAAATTGGGAAATAGACCTTGGAAGGGCGGCAAATTCGAAAAAGTGAAAATAGGGTTCATTGAAGAGATCTTGCTGTTCAAGAGAAACGGAGACCCTATTATCCTTAAATAAAGCGAGAAAAGGATCGTAAATTCCGGAAGTTTTAAGTTCACTTCGTCACCGTCTCTGCTGGCGCCTCTATTGCATAATCGACAGGCTTGCCTTTCAAAACTACCGCCTAAACAAGTCACTTCAAACTCTTTTTTTAATGTGTTTTTTCGAAAAATTATGCTACTG